CCGAAGAGCAAGGGGAATTCATGCCCGACCCTGAGGCGATCTTGGACGAGGCTATCGCCGAGACAGGCCGATGGATAAAGGTGAGTTTTTGATTAGGTTGTTTCAGGCCCACAAAATTAGTTCTAGACCCATAATTAGCACATAACTGTACACACGGCGTAACCACAAGGGCTTTCTATTGTGTTACTACAGCGAAGGAGTGGCGCCTTTATAATGCCACCACAAATACTTCCTGGTCGAAAACTATGTGAAATATTGCAGTTGCGAAATCCGGTACCATTTTATTCAAATAAGTTGTTTGCACAGTCTGAGCATGAATTATTTCCTCGAAAAGTATCGCATGGTAGCAGTTTATTCCTATATCTATGATATTCATGCTGGTGTCAGGCACATTGTAGCCCTCCGCCTCTCTCTCTCTCTCTCTCTCTCTCTTTCTGGGGGGAGGGGGGGGGGGTGGGGGTGGGGCGAACCCAAATCCAGAGCATTCTAGACAACAAAATACTCAAGACAAACAATTATATTGTGTAGAGAATATTCTCTAAATGAAATTTACACAATGCCAGGACCTCCTTTTCTGAGTCAATGTTGTAAACACACCATTTCGCAAAACATTTGGTGTAATGTGAAAACTTTCTGCCAATCAGACATGCAGAACCATCATTACAGTGGGAGATTTAATGAATCTCAAGACTTAAACAGAATTTCATTTTGTTGTGGTTCTGTTTATGGAGAATCGTAGTGCGTTATATTCTTTGATTGTCCAATTTCTCAAAAGTTTGGAAATGATACTGGCATTGATCCGGTCAAAACGTATTAAGGTAATAACTGCGGTTGATATTTGGTTTTGAAATGTGTGCCCCATGTAGCTTGGGTCCGGGTGAAAGATAAGAATTTGACTTGTGTTAAAAATTGCCTTTATGGCTCGAACTTCAAGGCATTACTTTAGTATATCAGTTTCGGAATCGGTATGTTAAACAATAAAATTTATTAAAAAAAAGATTCCAGAAGTATAGCGATTGTTGACAGAGTCCCCTTTCTTGTCAGTGCTTGCCTCCCTTTAAACCGCCGTTGGTCCTTTTCGAATTCGCCTGCTCGGCATAACATTGTAGAAGGAAAATAATTGAATGTGATTTCTCAGTCTCGGTTGCCAACGCGTTACCAACACCGTGTGATGATATATCGACTGATATTTGACACGACACCGGATAGAAAAACATACTTGCACGTGTACACATACAGGCGACTGAATTTGAAACCAAGCTCCATCAAGAATTCGCGCACTTTTATGCCCCTGTCACACCAAGTAAACTTAACACACTACCGACTACAGATCGGCCGATAAATTACATCATTCCCAATGACTTACTAATCGGTCGGTGCTTTTGTCAGATGACGGTGTGACTGAGGTGCTCATGGTATGAGCCCAAACACGTTGCACCGTCAGTAGCTAGCTGCCTGTAAATGAATATTCAATCAAACAATCTGGAAACGTGATTACCAAACAAATTGAATATCGAATCATTTGAACCTTCAAGGTGACGATTTATTAATGTATTTTCAACAATTGAAGGGTGCAAACATGTTAGAAATTCACCCTAATGTTTCCACTATTGCACCCCTTAAGGTTCGATACATTTTTGTGGGGGAGGGGTGGGTAGGGCTTGTCTGGACCTTCATTGTGAATGCGTACAAGTACATGCATAAATCAATATGTATTGAAATGTGCCTTCGTAAAATTTTCTCTTTTTTTTCAGCCGAGGTACTGTATTATTTTACTGCAGTATTGATAATTATCCTGCATGATAGATAAATATCACCTTACATACGCACGCGTCTCCCGAACCCCGTTTCGTAAACGTAATGATTATCATTTCAAAATATGAGATTAAAAACACTTATTTGGGTGTTCATTTAAACAAAATCAATCACAATCTCTATTATGACAGTACAGAAAATGTCAAATTCTACGTTAGATTATCGATGTGCTATTTTATGATGGATGTGTCAATAATTATCATTCGATAACCTTACTCGTTTGCATTCATTATTATTATTATTGGCAATGGCCTACGTCATGGAAATTGCCTCTAATAGCCAGTATTTCTCATAAGAAAAAACGAAAATGTATATTTATCATATTTCAATATATTCATATGGTTTTCTTGCAAAATGCACACTGGATTAAGCTTAAAAGTCAATAGTCATTATCCCACATTTTATCTTACAACTATGGAATTCAAACAAAATTGTTTGCGGTCTGATAAGTTATGTGCTCATTTTTGCTGAAAAACAAACCTTTGATCACATTCCTTAAAGATTCGTTAGTACAACATAATCTACCACGCTTATTGACAAAATAAGCTTCCGACATGGGCACTTGAGAGTCGAGACAGATAACATATTAGAAATGTTCAAGATGTTAGGTCAAAGCAGGAAACGATTTGTCATCTTTTAGATACTCAACGCTGAAGAAGGAAAAGAAAAATCACATTAAAAAAATGTTTAAAAAACGGACTTTGATTTACTGTCAACATTCTAAAGTACGCAACGGTTTTTTCCATTTTTTTTTTCTTCTTCAAATTTGAATGAAAAGGTAAAGATCCTTTGGGAGATTTTGCTTTTGACAAGGGCTTACTGCACCCGAACGGAGTCGGTCCCGAGGCGGTTAGAATAGCATCACGTACAGCCGATTGTTGCTGTTTTTTCTCTCTCTTTCACCCTCTTTCTTTCTTGTTTCTTTTCATTTTGCATCCATCTGTTTTGGGAATAAAACCGTGGTATGAGAAACGAAGATTTTGTATTAAATCCGATCATTAAAACCGTGATGATTTTGATGTATTAATCCAATACACGCACATTCCTTCAGGTAATATACTGAGTCGTTAGTATTGTGTTAATTTTTTATATTTTTTTTGTAAAACATAAAATGGGTTCAATTTAACAGGCCCGTTTTTTTACTCGAAGTTAACAATGGTTGATGTAAGAAAAAAAAAACGGGGTTTCAGACAAAACACATTGGCAAACTTTGGTACATTGTTTTTTGAACTGCTAGGAATTACTTTATCTAGATGATATACCTTAAGACGAAAGAATTGATGCATAGCTGATCGTCAACAAAACGGAGTTAAGTCTTTTGTCAACTCTGTTTGTTGCTACGGCAGGCAGTCAGTGAAAACGAACTCGTTTAATCAAATTATTGAAATGCAAGCATTACTTTAAACAAACAGAACTTTGTAATTCCTGGCTCATTTATACTGATTGAAGTGTCATATGAAAGGGCAGAAATTGAAGTTTCTAGAAATGTGATTTTCTCCTTGAAATTCAGATACCTCCCGCTAAATGACTTTTTGGTTTCCTCTCTTCAAATTGTTATTAAACACTCATACGTGAAATATGCATCACATGAGTTGCATCAAATGAAAGAGGTGGTTCTAAGCTTTACAAATGTGTGTCATTTATTAATTGTAATTGTGATTAAGTTATGATAAAACATCGATAGTTCTCGGTTTCGTTTTTTTCTGGGACGCACTGCTTTTGGGAATGGGTTCTACCATTTTGTTAGCATGGCTTTCCACTCTAGACGATGACAAAATAGTCTGTAAAATTGACTTGCACTCCAAACCGTATCTGAATTAAATATTTTTTGAATAATTTCTTTTTCTTTTTTTGCAGTAAATTTTCAAACACATAGCTTTTTAGACACTATACCCTATACAATGATAAACCATTATCATTTTGACTCTTGCATTATTGCTGATTGTAGCCTCGAGTAACTTATGGCTTCTACACCAAGCATTAGATCCCCCTTCTCTTATAAAATCTGCTGTCAACATATTCTCTTCATTTTTATAATTTCTTTCTTTTATTTGAATTAAATTTTCAAATACATAGCTTTTTAGACACTATACCCTACAGTGATAAACCATTATCATTTTGACTCTTGCATTATTGCTGATCGTAGCCTCGAGCAACTTATGGCTTCTACACCAAGCCTTAAATCCCCTTCTGTCATAAAATATGCTGTCAATATATTTTCTCTTCATTTCTATAGTTTCTTAATTTTATTTAAATTAAATGTTCAAATACAAAGATTGTTAGACAGTATTGTACTCTTGCATCAAGTTGCTGATTGTGGCCTCTAGCTTGCACTTATGGCTCCAAACCAAGCCCTAAATTCCTGCTTCTCTTATGAAATCTGCTTGTTAACATATTTGTATGATAATCTTGACAGATTAGAGAAGCACGAACTCTCCCATACAAGTCATGCATGATAGTTTGGTTGAGCTATGTGCAGTGTGCTGGGAACATGAGGACACTCATCCACCATTCGTTATTGAGGTCGCATTTCTCGCAACAACAACAAAAAAGCGAGAAAAAAATGTGTGGCTCTCCCAAATGTAAAGTAACAAAAGGCCCAGCGCACCCCCATTCTCATTGTCCGGTTATTCTCGCTTGAATTGGCACTGAATCATATATAATATATCTTCCACACACGCTTGGGTATTTCAAAATACTTCTTTTATGTCAACATGAGATCGGTTATTTCTAGCTTACCCAGCTTAAATCAATAAACCCTTGCATTCCTTTACGTCTAATGGGTAATATTTACTTTCTGCAGGTTTGTCCTTCTTTTTCTCCCACCCTCTCTCTCTCTCTCTTTCTGTGTGTCTCTTTATATAGGTGTGTACACTTTCCTCTTCGGGTACGTAACAATTGTTGACATGCCCTCCTTCAACGTACCCTCTCTCTACCTTGTCACTCTTTTCTCGATCTAAACTTACAACACCTCTTAACGCAACCCTTATGGAACAATCACAGTGTTACCACACTGTGTACCACATAGTCAAACACAGTGTGGTACACAGCGTGCTACCACATGTGGGCCACATGTGATTTTGGGACATGTGGTAACGCTGTGGTGTACTATGTGGTGCGTACAACACCGTGGTGGCAACTGCATAACACAGTGTGGTATACCACAACGTTACCACACTGTGGTACGCAGCACATCGTACACCACAGCGTTACCACACTTCCCAAAATCATATGTGGCCCAGATGTGGTAGCACGCTCTGGGATC